AATTTATAAATTCTTAATCGCTTGAAGACTATGACCAATCGTTATCTATTCTCCTTATCCTCATAATCTTCAATTCTGGTCACCTTTTCTCCCACTCATATCACACACCACATTCACCAATACAATTTTAACATTAACGTTCTACTTTCAGTGACATATGACGTTTGGAGTGAGTGAATTTAAGTATTAAAACTCTTAGACAAAGTAGCAAAGAAAAGCGAGTAAAAAAGAATGAACTATTATTTGTAAGAGACGTAATGTATGACCGTCAAAAATAATGTTAGTCTAAGGCAGTGTTTCTCAAACTGTACGGCGTGCCTCATAGGTGAGGCGGAAGTGGATAGCAGGTGAGGCGGAAGTGGATAGCAGGTGAGGCGGAAGAGGATAGCAGGTGAGGCGGAAGAGGATAGCAAGTGAGGCAGAATGATTTAAAGACAAAGATTTAGAAAGAGTTTTAATGCCAAAAATAAATATGATTTCAAAATTTAAAATATTATTATGGATTGATTGTAATCGCATTCATGAGTCCCCGTATAAATACTTATAAATAATTATTGACCGATTTTACTTATTTATACAAAATATTAAGAATATAGTAACTATGGTCTGCAAATTGGAGGAGAGCGTTATCAATGATATTGTTCTGACATCGAATCCGCAGTTATCTCCCTTTAATCCTCTCTCTTTTTATTATTATTAATATTATTATTATTATTATTATTATTATTAAATGGACTTTTTATCACATAACATGTGGTGAGACGCGAGAAAATTTCATTCCGAAAATGCGGCCCAGAGAAAAAAATGGTTGGGAACCACTGGTCTACAGTGTAAACTACGAGTTGGAGTCATCAGAATCAAGAATGTATAGCAGTTTAACTAGTGACATAAAGTACGGAAACTATAACACGGACACATCAGAAGGAGCAGTGGTCTAGGGAAAGATATTTTCTAAAGGCTAAACAGCGTATGAAACGTGTGGTGAGATACTATATAATATCAAACCTCCTACATGGCGTTGAATGCTGGCCAATTTCCGCACAGATGAAAAGGAGTTTAAAGCGAGAGAAGTGTAGTTCTGCAGACATTAAAAATATATTGCGAATACCATGGGTAGAACGTATGAGCAAATGTAAACGAGACAAAATGTTTATATTTAACATCAGAAAGCTAGTTACCTGGCACAGGTGCTATCACGGCTATGACTAGCTTAGACGAGCTTTGACCAGTTGGGACAAGCTATGACTAGCTTAGACGAGCTCTGACGAGCTTAGACAAGCTCTGACCAGCTTAGACAAGCTCTGACTAGCTTAGACAAGCTCTGACCAGCTTAGACATGCTGTGACTAGCTTAAACTAGCTCTGACCAGCTGAGACAAGTTATGACTAGCTTAGACAAGCTCTGACCAGCTAAGACGAGCTATGACCAGCATATACAATCTATGACCAGTTAAGAACAGCCCTCCGAGTGGAAACACACTGCTTCCCACGGTAAAAACCGATCTTGCATCACAACCTGACTCAGTGAGGGTGGGTGGCAAGTAAATCGCCTTAACCTCGGAAAGAGACGTTTGAAATTTCTTTGACTCCTAATTAGGAAAGTGAGCTTAGAGAATTTAAAACCCACCAAACATATTGAAAGCAAGAGATGTTGAAGGAAACAGTTTATGCGAATCGATGGCCGAGTAGGGATTAAAAGAGATGATAAAGAAATGTTGCCTAGAGCTACAAAGGAAAGGAAGCTGTGGAGAACAGTGGTCTCCAACATCTCGAAGGGACGCGACATATAAAATAAGCAGGGATTATTATTCAAATGTGTGGCTCTTTTAGGGGCGTAGCTCATTTGGTAGCAACAAGTCTAATTGGATTACAGTTGGGTGGTATGTCTATTTCTAAGTTTAGATCTTACGTGATCCGGTAAATGATTCGAGTAAAGTAAATATATTTGATATATTTAGGTTTAGAATCATATCTTTTTATCCAGCATCAAGTAATCAAATAAAATAAGTGTTTCTTTTTTTTCTGTGAAGAATTGAAACAATTTAGGACGTTCATTAAATGAGAATTATTGTAGATTAAAGTCGATTCCACTTTTAGCACCGATAACCTGTACACTACCAGAATATCCTCGCTTCTATCAGCAGTAAGGCCTTAGATCGGGATATTGGAGATCTTGAGGAACGTGGGACCACCTCGTTGTTCCCAGGTTTACTTTGATCCAGGGTGGTAGCATCTATTAGGTTCCTAGCTATGGAAAATTGTGAACCCTTAAACAAAAATCAAAACGCTAGGAAGGTATAAAAAATATTTTTTATAGTAAAATTACCAGCAATATATTTTTATAGATGTATTACCAACAATAACGTTTTATGGAGAAATTATCAGTACTATATTTTTAAATTACCAACAATACTATTTATCACTTATAAACTACTAACAGGCTTTACCTGCTAGCTATCACTAAGCAAAGTAAGATATATTCACCTCTTGAAATCTTTGAAACAAAAATTTTAAATGCACATTTCATTCAAAAATTGGCTTATTATAGTTAAGGGAAGTTTTATAAGTAGATGCCAACTTGTTGAAGGCCAAGTAAAATGCAAATTTCAAAGACTGCACTATATAAGACAATATTCCTAAACAACAATTTTTGATATTAGAATCAAAACAATTCTCGATTAAAAAAACAGTACTGAATAACAGTTAATTAATGAAATAAACTTTCTTAAAATCAATATGCAAATTAGTTAAACCTGAAGAATGATATCATTTAGAAGTAGATAATATATAATACAGATATCGAGGTCTTAGTGCGTAAATCCCTCCTTTGGGGGATTTCGCATTTTCTTATCATCTCTCAGTTGCGTCTCTGTCCTTGGACAGAGTGCGATCAGGGGCTTCTCTGTCAAAGGACAGAGGGGCAACTGAGGAAAATTATACTGAAGAGGTGTCCAGCCCTGGGGAACAGCTGCCCGAGGCCGCGCCCTCCCATTGCACAAGAGGGAGGGATCGGTGCTCGCACCGAGGCCAGCGCAACCGACGGTTGCGGGGGCTGAGGGCAATTTTTGTCCCTACCCGGGTGTACGCGCTCGGGTGCCCACATTAAACCGACCTTGTGTCACATCTTGTTCTAGTGGGGGAACGAGTAAATACCTGCGTAAATCCCTCCTTTGGGGGATTTCGTATTATTTATCATCTCTCAGTTGCGTCTCTGTCCTTGGACAGAGTGCGCTCAGGGGCTTCTCTGTCAAAGGACAGAGGGGCAACTGAGGAAAATTATACTGAAGAGGTGCCCACCCCTGGGGAACAGTTGCCCGATGCCGCGCCTTCCCATTGCACCAGAGGGAGGGATCGGTGCTCACACCGAGGCCCCCGCAACCGACGGTTGCGGGGGCTGAGGGGAATTTTTGACCCTGCCCGAGTGTATGCGCTCGGGTCCCCCACATTAATCCGACCTTGTGTCACATCTTGTTCTAGTGGGGGAATGAGTAAATACCAGTGCATAAATTGCTATTTATGCACATTACTTTTCATCTCTCATTTGCGTCTCTGTCCTTCGTCAGAGTGCGCTCAGGGGCGGCTCCGTCAAAGGACAGAGTCGCAACTGAGAAAATTATACTGAGAGGTGCCTGGCCCTGGGGACAGCTGCCCGAGGCCGCGCCTTCTCCACGCACTAGAGAGAAGGATTGGTGCACGCACCGAGGCCAGCGCAACCGACGTTGTTCAGAAGGTTTTGAGGTGCACGGAATCACCTCTTAATTGCTGATGTTCCCAGGTCCACCCTGACCCGGGGTGGTAGCACCTGTTAGGGTCCCAACTATGGGAAAATAATTAACCCCCCCAAACTGGGCTCAAAACACTATGAAAGTATAAAAGAATTATAGTAAAAATACCAACAATATATTTTTATAGTAATAAAAATTACTAGCAATATATTTTTATAAAAGAAATTACTAATGCTACGAAGAAAATTAAATTTCGGCATTAAATGACCCATAAGGAGTTGATGTGCGTCTAAACAAACTCATCCATCTAAAAATCGATATCTATGAATGATACTATTTTTTTCGATATTTCCACAATTCTATTCGACATTTTACGGCTTATGGCTATATCACATTGAAACGCTGGTTCTCGTACGATCACCGAATTTAAGCAACGTCGAATCTGGTCATTATCTAGGGAGTTAGTGGGGTCGCTTGGAAATACCAGGTACTGTAAGCTTGGATGTGCGGGTGATGTAATTGATAACGGCTCAGGTTCTTTATATTCATTTACGCGCGAATACGCTCAGGGAAAGGTGTGAATACACTTCTTCTCCCCTAGCTATGGGTTAATTAGTAAAACGTTTATCAGTAAATCATTATTATCTCCAAAACACCTCTATTAATCTAAAAATATTTTCTGGCTTTAAATAACCTGCAGAAGGGTGATAATCCGTGAAAAACAAATCGATCACTCAACAATTTATTTTTCATATTCGATTTCTAAAATAGACATAATTTAGAAATTTAACTTTTTAAATGAAATTTTATCAGTAAATTTACTTTTATTCTTGCTTTGTAATAATACAGAGTTTGTCTTACGAAACATAAAATAAAAAAAAATCGAAGGTTGTTTAAAAAAAGGCAATCACATATTTACGTTGTCTTGCGAATGCGAACTTTTTATATAACACTAAGTTACAGAGATAACACTGGGTTGTGTATTTTAATGTTGGTTTGGTTGTTTTTTAGCGGCATATTGATATCTCTATGGGTCATTTAATGCCGAAACCTAAATTTTTTAGGCGCAATTTTGTTTATTTATTTTAGATAATTACGGTTTTAATGATGCAAGTTTCACTAATTAACCCATAGCTGGAGGAGGAGAGGTTGCATCCTACCTTTTCCAAGAGTATTTGCACGTAAATGAGTATAAGGAGCCCAACTTGAATTGGAACTCGGCTGTCTGATTAATAAATACGAATCATTACCCGTTACACTACTTGCACGCCCAAGTTTACAGCACATGGTATTCCAAAGCGGACACCCATCTAACTACTAACTAGGCTCGACGTTGCTTAACTTCGGTGTTTTCATGATGGTTGTATTTGTATTGATATTGGCCGGTTTATGTTCCTTCTTTTATGAGCCGTTTTCCGTTAGGTCATAGACGATCATGGATCTCCACAATTTATTGTCAATTGTAGCTCTTTACTATCTAAATAATGAAATCCTCTTTATTTATTTATTTATTTATTTCTCTGTCTTTCTCTCTTTTTCACCTCTCTCTCTCTATCCTACCATTCAATTATTTTCCCATTGTTATTTTTTGTCTCGTATTCAAATGGTTCTGCTTTTATCAACGTTCCATCTTCCTAGAAGCATTTTCTTCTGTTTCAAAATTAACGTGCATGAAAAATAAGCCTGTTCGAATTACTGAATATCAGAAACAAATGTAGGACAAAGCTATTCCAATAGAATCCCTTCGGATATTTAGCAAACGCATCGTTTTGCATGAAAACTGAAGAAAAGAGTTGGGAAGAGTCTGTGACGGCCATATTCCAACTGTGAATAAACGTTTTGATTTGTATAAACAGGGTTAGAATCATGCCTTACGGGCGGCCCCTGAGAAATACGTAGCGAAGCAAATCCGATCGATTATAGACAAATATTAACTCAGTTTAGTTTAAGGATGGAAATTAGAGTTAGGACATTTATTTTGGCTCAATATTCCAGCTGGGAAACTGTCTGACTTCAAAATAAGCATTAGAAATCTTAACTTTATACTCGAGTGAAATATATGTTTATTTACCTCCCAAACCGGGCCCCTTATTCATAATATCTTCCAAAAGGCGCACTAAATATCGTTTAAATTTCTTTTGGAATAAATATAATAATGAGCATATCGATGAGAAGATGTATTTTCTAAACTCAAAGTTTGTTTATGGGCAAATCACAACATTTACGAGTATCCGCGGCAACTGTCACGTCATGATGGCGTCTTTACCCATCAACTCACCCTCTTTAGTTTAATGAAGACGGTGATGCTACAAATCAGTCAGTTACGTGCCATGCGTGATACACTCTTAGGCGATTATGTATCTTTCGATACATGACTGACGAGGCAGATTTTTTCCCGCAGTAGGTTACCACTTCTTTCTGTGGTAGACCAGTTGCTATCCAAGGCTATAGAACCCGGTCTGTCCTACTATTTACCCATAGCTGGAAAGAGAAGAAGAGGATTAATACCTTTCCCAAGGATATTAGCACGTAAGTGACTGTACTGCGTTCGACTGGAATTCGAACTCGGCTCTCCGATTCTTCAATCCGTGCCGCTATCCATTACTCCACCGTGCCCTGAATTCCAGTAAAGGAAAATGTTCACACTTCCCCTTGATAGTAGGATGTAACACAAGGTCGGTTTAATATTGGGTGTCTATAGACCTACATGTGAGCCAAATACAGAATATCATGCTGGCGTTTGTATTCAATGACCTCCCTCTTTAGAGCAATGAATTTGGAATATCTGGGTCCGGGTTTCTTTCATAACTTGGTGAGGAAATGTAAACAGATCTGGAAGAGTGGCTGTTCAAGAAATTTAATTTTACAATTTGATGAGAGAGATTGAATTAAATCAAACAAGCGAGAACAATTTAGCGATATTATCATGTAATATGTTATACAGTGCAATTTACTGTGATTTTCAATAAACAATGCAAATATAAATCATTTTGTCTTATAATGTGTGTTCAGCAGTATCATGGTGTTATATAGTTTCATCTATTTTTGTTTTTATTAACTCTATTCAAAGAAACATTTTTTACACAGCATGTCTATATTTCTGAGATGAGGTTTAATGTACACTATTTACATTATTCGGATAATTGTCTTCATATTTTTCGCCATATTTATTAGAACATTTCAGCCGTTGTACGCTCCGGCCTTCTTCAGGTGGTTGGAATGTCGAACTGAACCCTTATTTCGCTCACTGGGGTAGACTGTTCTAGTTCCACGTGCCATGTTTGATGGATTTCAGTTATCAGTTATCTCCTGTTAATTTCCCTCTGAAAGTTCTCAACTACCTTAACCTCAAGGACACATGGCACAGTAGATAAATGCGTTGGTTAGATCCAGTGACAGGACCCAAAGAGTGTGAGTTCAATACCCGGTTAAGGCAGTGGAGAACTTGGAGGGGGTAATTAACTGAAGATAACTGATAACTGACATCCATTAGACATGGCACGTGGAGCTAGAAAAGTCTACCCCAGTTAGTGAAATAAAGGGTTCAGTTTGACATTCCAACTACCTGAAGAAGGCCAGAGCATGCAATAGTTCGAATAATGTAAATAGTGTATTTTTTACAGTTTTTACTTACTGAATACAGTAAAAAATACATATTTTGTTTGTGGTGGTACATAATAAGAATTTTGGTTTGAATATATTTTCCATTCAATGTATCCAATACAAAAGATATCAAGTTTATTTGGATTTATTCTAAAAATAGTGAAATTTTGAAGTTAGTTTGTAAGCAAAAACCTGCGGAAATTGGTTATATCTGTACATTTTTCAGACGATCTTTAAAACTAAATGCTCATAAGTTACTGAAAAGTATGAATCTAATTTTTTTCTTTGTCAGTACTTAGCACATCAAATCCCAGCTTTCATACTGTTATGGGCTCCACCCCTTTTTCATAAAAGTGGACTCGACCAGTATGTACTTGGACCGCTGCCGTTAAATACCCAGAGTCAGTCAGAGTAGAGAGATTGAGATTGTGATTGAGTTGGAGGTAGAGTAATAGTGTGAGGTAACCGCTTGTAGAAGTCACAGTTACAAACACGTAGACTCTAAGGAAGTCCTAGTTCGAGACTGGATTTACCAGACTATATATATATATTGTTATTGCTACTAATCACGTTCCTGGATTTACTAACCGTATTACCAATTGTATTATTGTGTAAATACATTTATTTGTTATATTTCATTCCTGCGTTTGTCATTCATTGGAGACCGAATTTCATCTCGGAATCCGCAACACATACTGAGTGCAATGTTGATTTTCTAAAGAAAGCGAAAAATCAACCCACCCTACATCACACGTTCAGATTGAGATGAAATGAAATAGCGTAGCAAGCAAGAGAAACGACCCATTGAGCCAAAAGATCAAGTTGTTTAACTTTTACTATGAAACAGTAAATATTTGATAATGTATGCGACAACTGACATTTCTTTTAATCATTTCATCGCAAGCAAGGCGACAATGCCACTAGATTTCTTGAAATAGTAAAATTTTGAAGTCTGTTTGTAAACAAAACCCTGCGAAAATTAGGTATTTCTGTGGATTTTTTCAGACGATATTTAAAATAAAATGCTCAAGAATTGGTAAAAGCTATGAATGTAGTTTTTGGTGTCACTGCGTATTATATCAGAATTCAGGTTTTACACTGAGTGCAATGTTGATATCTGTAAAATATATTAAAAATCGACCTGCCCTAATAGACATATGAACCAGTATTACTAATCTATTATACCGATTTTACTAGTTGGTGCACCTGGGGCACCTCGAGGTGGTGTAATGGTTAGCAAACTTGTTTCGCTTGAACAATTATGACTGAGTAGTGAGTTCGATCGTCACTGGGAACCCCTTTATTTCGGCCTTGTGCCACATCCAAATCTCTACTAGTTGTTGCACTTGAAATATCAATTCTAAAAGTTCTTTTTCTTTCTCTTTCAGACCTCTACGAAGAACAACGATATTTAAAAATGGCAGCATTAAATATTTCTGAAATTCAGCAACAATGGACCACGCTGCCGTTTGCGACAAGCCCAACAAATGAGAACTTCACTTTCATATCAGGTGCGAATAATAACACTGAGAGTGTCCACGACAAAGTCTATTCGAAAACGATACGGCTAATTAGTTTATACATGATAATTATAACTGGTTCCATTGGAACTTTCCTGATGCTTTTATGGATGCGATTGAATCGTCGATGGAAATCCAGAGTCAACCTTTTCATTTTGAATCTTTCTGCAGCTGATTTGTGTGTTATATTGTTTGGTTGCCTACCGCAACTCGTCTGGGAATATGTCGACAGGGACTGGCTAGCCGGTGCTTTTATGTGCAAGGTTATTAAGTTCACACAAAGCTTTTCAATGATGGCAAGTACCAACATGCTGATTGTTATTGCCCTCGATCGACACCAAGCCATTCGAGCACCGTTGATGAAGCCTATTGCCGTAAGTACAAACACACCAGCACACATGTCCGAAAACATAAACACACACACACACACACACACACACACACACACACACACACACACACACACACACACACACGAGCTCGTCACCTGGGTAAAGAAACCTGAATTTGTTTCATTTTCACTTGGAAGATGCAAGTATTCGACAATGTAAATTTGAAGAGTAGCAGCTGTGGCCATTTTGAATTGTAATGAACGTTGTCGTATTCACATGCATACATACATACATACCTGAACTAACTTACGACCACATCACGTTGAAACACCGATCCCAGTACAATCACTGAAGTTAAGCAACATCATGCTGTGTCACTACCTAGATGGGTGACCGCTTGGGAATACCAGGTTCTGTTATTTTGTGTGTTTCGATGACATGATAGATAAAGGCTCAGGATGGGAAATCGTAGAGGTCTCAATTCGTGTTTGTGTTCCTCCTATTCGCTTATGCTCAAATACCCTGGAGAAAGGTATAAATCCTCTACTTCTCCCCTAGCTATGGGTTAATTAGTATTCCTTATATCCCTAAACCATTATTATCTCCAAAAAATAAAAATAAAATTGCGTACAAAAATATTTATATTCCGGCATTAAATAACCCATAGAAGTGTTGATATGTCGCTAAATGAATCAATCAAGAAATATACCTGAACTAATCGTGATATTTCAAATAAAGCATGCAAATGTGAGCCTCTTGAAATCACTCAAGATTAGTAATATCTTATATTAAGACACACATGCAAATTTCTCATTTTAAATGAATAAATACATATTGCATATAGTGTCGGGTATTCAGCCAGTTTAGGTGGAGAGCACCCGAATCATGCAAACGCGAAAGTTT